GAGGAGGAAGACAAGGCTATTCAGTGCGTGCTGTTGAGCTGCTTCTGATGTCAACATAAATACAGTGTTCCTAATGGGCCAGGCGGGCCAGTTTCAGGTCAAAATCAGTAATCCTGATTGGCCAGGCCGGCCAGTTTGAGCGTAAGCCCGGCCGGGCCCGCGCATCGGTGGCCAGGCCATCGGAACAGCCCGCACCCACAGGCCTTGAGTAGGAGAAAACAGTGAGCGCCTAGGTAAACCATGATTTGAAAAGCCCACAGTTTGACTGCAGGTGTCTACAGGTAACTAGTCCGGGGTGAAAGTTCGAAATTAAACAACTAGTAGTACATCTACCAATGCTTTCATTACTCTATTTGTTCTTTGCCATCGATGCCTGATACAATTCAATCAACATACACTCCATCTCATACATTTCAATTTGCACCCACAAATTATTCTCTCTCGTTCCTAGAACTTAACTATAGCCAGAGAACTCAATAGCCATGCCCAGCTCCAGGGCGGGCTATGGCTGCGTGGGCTGTTGCAACTGCCCAGACAGGCTGTTTAGGCATCAGCCCAAGTGCCTGGTAGCGCCCAGCTATAATCTAACGGGAGTGCAGTATCTTACTGGATTTCTAACCCAGACCGGCTCCATTCTCGGAACCGTGTATTGAGGTATCTAGGTACCTTTCTTTCCCAGGGAAAACGAATTTGAAGTATCCCCTTGACAGGTAAAAAGTACAATATATGGCTATACGCCATTAACAACAGTTGTGATTGGTAGATGCTCCATGGCGATATTCAGCCGGCCAAATAAACTGGAAACTTCCCATGGGTCTATCAGATGTATTCTATTGGCAATAGAAGTTCAAACTCACACCTTAAGACCTTTAGGCCGTATAGCCATATGTTTTACTTATTACCAGTATTTCGTATTGTAAGCAATCAAATAGTCTAGAAACAACAAAATACGTTGCGCATGGACTCCTTCTCTCCGGTTTGATACACAATTTGATTCCCTTTCATTCAACACCCACTGGAGATCAGTACTGCACCAAATTCTGTCCAGAAATATGGTAATTGTAGGGTTAAGTGCCCCAAGTTCTAGTCAGTTCACGGAGGATGTCAGTCCGCGGAGTGACCGGTCAACCGGCGGAGTAACTGGGCTCCATGAACTGACCGGTCACTTCATGAAGTCTACCACAACTCCGTGAACTGACGAGTCACTTCATGGAGCCATGGCGGCACAGACAAAAATGACAAAAGCTCGGTCTAATTAAGTCTGCGAATATTTGTCAAATCACCAATAGATGTGTACATGTAATATGCATAATACATCGCTCTTTTGATTCCCGGTCTTTGATTTACGATATCTTTAAAATTGATAGAGCAGCTTTAAAAACATACCCAAAAAACCCCGAAAATCGATGTTTTTCCACAACCATTCTGTCAATATTAGAGATATGGTAAATTGGGGACCAGGAGTTGAAAGAGCAATGGATTGTGCATATTTTATATATACATAACTTTGCGATCGGAGTAACTGTCAATTTGGTTGAGCATAATTAGCACTGGTCAGTTCACGGATCCATGATCTGATTGGTTCATTCAGGGAAGGTGGGACTCCGTGAATTGACCGGTTACTCCGCGGACCAACATTCTCCGTGAACTGACTAGAACACCCCACAAGCCAAAGGCTGTTTAGGCTTCGCCCAAGCAATACTAGCCCATCAGCCCAAAAGCCTGTAGGCTTCCAGCCTTTACAGCCCGCCCTGAAGCCCCAAATACCTTTGGTCGGGCTAATGAGACCACTGCTTATAGCATTCAAGTGGCCCCATTATAAAATCATCGAGACCGCTTTGTGGCCAGAGATTGCAAGTTTTGCTCCGCTTAAGACTCTGTTGTTCAGTTGACATGCCTAGGAGCGCTGAGAATCTTCAGTGCATCCTGGCGAGGTTCTTTCAGGGAATTTAGATCATTCATGTACTAGCTTTAAAAAGCCTACAGTGCACCCAGTCACCCACAGTTATAGCCCAGGCTGTCAAATCGTCGGCCTGGCTGCACAGTCTCTAAAATCAAACGGCCCATCTGGCCTGGCCTGCAGGACACAGGCCCAACGACCGGCCGGCACGGCCTGTCGGGAACACTGGTCAGAACTAGCCTGGCCCGCGCGTGACAGGGCAGGCCGATGAACGGCGTATATCTACAGGCTTCACGCTGGTGGAAACAATGGGCGACTGGGCCAGCCATGGTTCTTAAGGCCTACAGTTTAACTGTAGGCGCCTGTAGGAAACTATAGTTTCCACTGGCACTGGTATTTTCAATCGGTGCCTAATAAAATTGTATGAGTCATATATTGTGAAGAACTGTAGTGGTGAATTGTGGCAACATCTAGAAACTTTTAGAGTATACACTGAACCACTACAGATTACTAACCGCAATGGTGACGTACTCTATTACCAAAAAGCCTATAGTTGGCCCAGTCACCCACAGTTATTGCCAGGCTTCGAAAGCGTAGGCCTGGCCTGCACAGTTATTAATTTCGGGGGGCCAGACTGGTCCGGCCTGTGGGCTGGCCTGGCCCATTGGGAACACTTCATAAATAGCCCTTCCCACTCAGCTGGTATTTGCAGTGTGGGCGTAATTACTATATATATTTCTCCCTATTTCCTAGGACGTGATATTCATACCTCACCCGTTCGGTCTCTCTATTCTGCCCATATCCTACCGTATTCTATCAAATCGGGGCTTTTGTATATTTCTCACGTTCGTCGAGTTCTATTCTCTTGTTGATAAATCAAATCCAATCACCACCATCAGTCAAACCCCATTTTTTAACGACTCCAATTCAATAGTAATGTGGCTGCCCAAGTTACTCTGCCTAGCGAAATATGCGACTATCACCCGGACTTCGTGGGTTCTATTCGTTACACTATCTGGATCAGCATTCGTCGCTGCTCAACAGCCAGTTGCTGAGTTGGGAACATGGCCATCTGGTGCGTTTACATTGCTGGTTGGGCTATGGCTGGTTGGAAGGGTCATGATGAATGGCGATTTCGATACAGTACTACCGATATGTACAAGATCCATTACACTTCAGATCCCAGGACTAAAACAGATATTCTGGATCCAAGATCAGCTGGGGGTCTCGATTGGATCACTAGTTCTATCTTCTCAGCAATATCCTAGTCGGTTGTACAATGGTCCCCCCTTCAGCCGGACAACAGATCATGGAGGAATATGGGAGTGGGATAAATTGACTATGTACAAAGTTAAAGAACGCCCGACGGTATCATTTTTGCGATCACGGAAAGCACAGACCCCCACCAACAGTGTGGATATATTTGAGATGGACATACCGCCTCCTGAGAAGAGCAACCTCAGCTTAAAACTTACATTCACTACAAATGAAAACACGAACATAGTTAAGGCAACTCAAGATCTCTTCCAGGCACTATTTCAGCATCCCAAACGCGGTCCCGAATCCACTGATATGTTCCTCCAATACTGGCGTGCACTTCAGTTCTACCAACATACAGGGGATTCAGATCAAAAGTGGTCAGGAGATATTCAAGGAGAATCTTTCAACATATTGGATACAGTCAAGTCATATCGAGACAAGGTTTTAGAAATCGATAAATGGTGTGATCGAAAGAGAACGCTACGAGTTTTTGTTCGGGACGCACCAATTGCATCAAATGAGGTCACGGTGGGTGCTATGCTACTCGAGAATGCCATAGAGGCTGGACAACTGGTTGCCTTGCTTATCTACGTTCAAAATTTCCCGGACGAGTGTGAAGTCAATCCTTTGATACCTCTGCTTTTGCGTTGGACCGAAGGCAAGCTATCTCCGAGCGATAATTTTGTCTTCACGTTATCCCCAATCAAAATCAAACAACGAAATCCACCACATGAACCCAATGTTTCATTGGCGGTAAGATATTGCGAAATTGACCTCTCGGATGGAACTACGGAAATTGATGGCTTAACCTATTTTGGCTCTTCGCGATATCCATGGATAGCTAGTACTCTATGTGGGATTGTGATCACCTTTTTTGCATCTATTGCTAGCGCTTCAACTCCAAACCTAGCAACGGCCATTGGTTTGCTTCTATTGAGACCATATACCAACGACTGTAACTACGCCGACGCTGGTTCACCTCCCTCCTGGAATGGTAGGCGACAGATACGTTGGGCAGGTAATGCCTGCGGAATCTTCAGTGGTCCTCATTGCCTACGGATAGGAACCATAGGGAATTCTGCGACTCGAAGCATTATACTCACAATTGTCGGCTGGATGGCTTGGTACTGGAGCTCGTTTCTAAGGGGCATGCTGTCGTTCGGGCACAGGATACCAATTGCACCATGGGTGATGTGGGTAGCAGTCGTAATAGAAGCATTCACAGCCTTTATCTCTCTCTTAGGCGCATACGTTGTGTTTTGCATGTCGAAACTTTCCTATCGAATTGCAATAATAAACTTACTTGCCGGAGCCTTGCTTTCTACAATTGTGGTTTTCATGGTACGGTTTTTACTTTTTGGTACTGGTCTCAAGATAATATTCTTTCTTTCAGAAGCTATGTTTTTTCCGGGCGCTATTTCTGCAGTCCAGACTCCCGCCGGATTTGGGTTCCAGCATACTTATATTCAGCTTTGTGCCTTGATTTATTGGTTTCATATGGTGGCTTGCTCATGTTTTCCGTATCATGTTTAGTGTATGAGATACCATCTCTTTTGCATTTTCTGCGCTTGGAAACATAATACGGTATCGACTGATGTAGTCCATGGGTCGGCTGAAAATAGCATATTTGTTAATGTACGGGCTTTTTATGATTGTTTTGATTCGTAGATCGAGGTTAACGATAGTGATTGCGGAGCAATGAGTGAGGGAGGTGGAGGTAAATGTGGCGAAGAATATTGATGTGGTAGAGATAGACGAAGAGCCCGTAGGTGAAGTGATAAGTACGAAGGTGGAATAGAATGAATTATATTGTCGGAACATGTCAATCTATACTGATCAAGGGCCGGTGGGGCAATGGTAGCGCATCCTTCTAGTATAGAACAGGTTGTAGGTTCGATTCCTAGCCATTCCATTCTTTTCTTGGTTTCAACATATATAAAAGGAAGAATGGTATAAGGGAAAAATATACATACTGCTGAACCGATTGTCTCCGTTGAATTGATTAATTGAGTAAGTCAAACATGACACGTAGCTGCCACATGCAGATATCTGAGAAATGTTCAATTGAGACGTGCGACCAAAAGGTGATGGACTTCCTGGCGGCCACAGGCGTCGGGAAGTTCCCGCTTAGGTGAACGGGAGTGCAGGTGCGGTTGTTGACAGTAGTTGACTGATTTCACTACTCGGGGTTTAGCCGACGTCATTCGGAGGTGTGGCTGCAGCCTTCTTGGGCATCGAGCCGAGGGCACTAGCCATCCAGACATCCAGCTCCGCATGCCCAGCTCCGGGTATGACATGACTCTGGGCCGGCCCCGGGTATGGCATGGTACCGGTCATGATGCCAATTCTCATATATAGAGCTTTCTTTCTTTTTATATTGGCAGATAATTCAGCACTTTCGTTCGTTTTTTGTTTGTTTTAATCATACTGTATTCACTCTGATTAGAGTATGACAGAGCCTATTCTCCCCTCCACCTCCGGGTGACCCGGCTAAGTGGCGGAGATTCCCTGCAACTACCTTCTTCGCTTCTCACAAAAGAGAACGAGCACAAGACAGATCAACACAAAAGAAAGAGAAGCAAAAAGAGACCACCAAACCTCGTCCTCTTGTTGAGAGCAGAGTAAAGTGATTGTCTATTGTACACAGTCTAAAGATCTAAGAAAGAGAGAAAACGATCTACTTATATAGAGAATGGGAAGGCATCGCCAGATGCCGAGTATCATACCCGGGACAAGGACCGGAAGAGTTCGGTGCGGAAATGATCGGCCCGGAAGTTCTCGGAGTCTGCGCCATGGCTTGTTGTCTTCATGGCTTGAGGTCCAGAACTGCTCGGGCCGCCTGTTACATATATACTTAGAAGGTCAGCCTCTGTAGGGCATGCGTATATACGGGCTTACGGTACTCAGCCCTACCTATAGATAGATGGAGTGTACGCACCTGCTCTTAGCAGTACTGTATATATATGACCTTCATGTTGGAACATCAATCAACACTCATCAAGGGCCGGTAGCTCAGTTGGTAGAGCATCCGTCTAGTATAGAAGGTCCTAGGTTCGACTCCTAGCCAGACAATTCTTTTCCGTGGCTCAACACTTCACGGCCTCATAGATAAGTAAATCAAGCGTCTAAAGTAACAGGTTATGAGCCCGGCGGTCGCTACTCTATTTATATCTCACGATCTTTAAGAGCCTCTACAACCCTAACCCATGCTACATTCCGCCATCCCTGCGATCTCACAATATATACCTACATTTACAAGATGAGTTCCAGAGACATCGACACATCTAGAAACATCGACGTACCAGCAAACTAATCTCCGAGCATAATTTCCCAATGCGGCCTCACTTTACCAATTTCGAATGCCACATCCTATCTACCGAGCGTACTATTATCCCTAAAGTGTAGTGGCAAAAACCTTATGGATGTAGTAGCACTTATAATGTCATTTGTCATGACATTTTGGATTACAGATAACACTACCGGTATACGGCTAGTGTCATCCAGATATAATCCAAATCATATCAACATGTTGCTTTCTTGCCATGACAATATTATCTCAATGATGCAACTTCATCATCCATTTATAGCTTCATCTGGACCATAATCTTGTGGCATGGGCACTACAATTGGCCGATGGATGGCACGATATATGTCACAACAGAAGACACAATAATTTGGATTACAATTGCCATTTCAATTGCACTACAATTTGGATTACAATTGACACTACATATCCCACAATGTATGCCACAACAAATGTCACAACAAAGAAACAAAGTTCCTCATAAATATCAGACGACATATTAAAGTCCACCACGATATCAAATAAACCAGGTTATATTCAGATGCCGGCAAAGTAGTAGCTGCTGTAGGTTAGTATGCATCATAAGAAGAGATACAGATACTCCCCATTATTGTTAGTATATTTTCATTAAGTACAAATATGTACATCCGTTCTATAATTTGATTTCAGCCAAGATCCCCTCGGTGTCAGCCTCATAATCAGGTTTTCTCCTATGCGACCAGTGGTGAGAGCTTCGCCAAGGAACATCAGCAATGGTCTTTTTAACTATCCCTTTACCTCTCACTCTGACTCTTCTACTACTCCTTCCTCCAACATTGTTCACTGCTTCTTTGATAGGAATGATAGCTGGTGGAAGAATGACTTGCTGAACATAAACAACCTGAGACTCTCCAATGTTGTCTAGCTGGATAAAGTTGATGGATGTTTCGCAAGAGTTGGAAGACCTGCTGGTAATCTCAAGAAGGTTCGGGAGGTCTCTGCAGTTCTTTGGGAGGTCTCATCAGATGTTTTGGAGGTCTCGATAGTTGTGTCAGAGGTCTCACCAGCGGTTTCATAGGTCTTGACAGGTGTTCCGGAGGTAGCAACAGTGGCAAAGGACTCAACAGGTGTTCCGAAGGAATCAACAGATGTTCCAGAGGTATCAACAGTTCCAAAGGTCTGGACAGGTATTCCGGAAGTTTCAACTAGTATTCCGGATGTTCCAAAGGGCTTTCCAGTTGTATCCAAGGTGTTCCCATAATTCAATCCAGTATCAGCAGATGGGATTTGCTGTTGAATGGTTCTCGTGCCATTGACATGGCCAAAACCATGACAACAGCCACGAGCCTCACCTTGTTTGCCATGATCTACTTTGCATTTGGGTGGATCCATTTTGGGAAGCTTAAGTGAAAAGACAGAGTTTTCAAGTTGGAAAGCCTGTTGGAAATATAGATTATTCCAATGTATATAGACACGGATGTCCTAATAAAAGGTCATCACGAACCATTCTGATTGGTGCAGAAACACATTTCTGTTTAGGCTATTTGAAGCTCTTGAGTTGGTGGCATCTGATTCATTGTCATGTCGTACAGATACTATGTGCTGAATGCCACACATCTAGCTAGTTAGCAAGAGCCGCAACTCCATCATCAGTATCTTATACTCTGTGGTGTCAATTACAATCACTGCAACTGTATATCGCCTTGGATTGTCCTGCGCAATTTATTACCCCCATCTGCTCGTCATCACATATTAAGCTAGCTATCTGGCGCCGCATCTCCATTTTCACTATCATATACTCTGAGCTGTCAATTGGTACGGTGTACATTGGTCGCGTGTGCGGCTCAACTCTGTGTATTCATTGATCATGTCATTTAAAGAATGGACACTATGCTTCTAGCAGACCACATCTTGGTAGCAACAGGTCAACACCATCTTTTGCCTCGATTCCGGTGCTTTGGCAGTGGCAATTCGATGCAATTGAGCAGATCGAGAGGACCTACGAGACAGAGTCCAGATTACACCGACTTTCCACGCATCAACATCACGAGACACTCTATGTGGGATCACGAGTGATAACACCGGCGAGATCACCGACCAGTGTTGAGAGAGATTCAATTGCAGACACTCCGAGACACAGAGATCCCGAGAACCAGAGCCCCCGACAATCAGACACCCTGACTATCTGACACCCCGCCAATCAGACACCCCAACAATCAGCCACCCCGAGAATCAGACACCCCGAGCATCAGAGACCTCGAGAATCAGAGACCCCGAGAATCAGAGACCCAAAGAATCAGAGACCCCATAAATCAAAGACCCCAAGAATCAGAGACCCCAAGAATCAGAGACCCCATGAATCAGAGACCCCAAGAATCAGAGACCCCAAGAATCAGAGGCCCCGAGAATCAGAGACTCCGAGAATCAGAGATCTCGAGAATCAGAGACCCCTGAGACACCAACATGTTATTACAACCCCAACACCGTGCGAAATAAGAAAGAAACCGAACCATGTGACATTCAGTTGCACCAGGATGGCAGCCGAGACAGTGCATGATACCTCGGCAGCCGGAGGCAGGCAATTGCAGCAGCAACGGCGACCTGTAGTATCACGACCCCGACTACACAGATGATACAGTCAACCTACTACGCAAACTGAATGACGAGAGACCACGGTCGGACAAGTACATCCAGTATCGCGGCTGGATATTGGACTAGCCAATCAACGACGGCCCAAATGAGAATGGGCAGTGGAAACGATACATCGCACGCCTAGAAGAAGTGTGGGCGGAATGTTATGACGAGGCGGACAAGGCAGCCAGGGAGGCATTGGCGGCGAGAGTGATTGTGGAGGTGGCCCAGCAGGAGACGGCAGAACTCAGGACACAAGTGGCCGCAGCAGAAGATGCAGTAAGAATAGTCATGATGGCCAATGCACAATGTCAAGGCGGAAGAGGAAACACGACCCATAGTAACAACTTCTCAATTAACTCCAAACGACTTCCGATGTTCAAGGGTGAGTAGGACATGCATGTCATCGGTGACTTGATCATTGACTTGCAATGACAATTCGAGGCCTGATGCCACGAAATTGGATGGCATGCATCAACAACCCCAGTCGGCAGTAGTGCCACGACCCCAACAATGGCAGCAGGGGTGGCAGCGCCGCGAATGGATGGATGGACCAGGTATGATCTGCTCCAACTTACGGAGGCAGCAGGCCAATAGGCGACTTCAATGTTTCCGTCTAGCCAGCCATATCCGACATGGGATAACTTTTGCATGCGGCTCAGGGAAGTGTTTACACCCTGGACGTACTTCGAATCTTTGAGGATGAGCGGCGGCTACTTACCATCTCCACCAAAGGCCATGTGCTACTTTTAACGAAGAGTTCCGACAACTATCACTGCAACTTGACCCACACTCACCGATGACCCCTCATCAACTCCTGGAAGAGTACGCAGCAAAATTACATCCGAATGAGGGATAGACACACATACTGAAGTCTTGCCAAAACGGAAATTGCAAAATAAGTTGTCAACCACAGCAGTAACCGTCAAAAAGGACACCGGAAATCGATTCCTAGCATCGAATTGACCCCGGCACAACACTCCCGGTGCCTCCGGACC